ATTTTTGCGCTGCAAACTTAGTGCCAACTCTTTAACAAGTACTACTAAAGGGGATATATTGTGTTCGTAACTACACCGTATGACTCGTATAATATTTTTCAATCTTGTATATCCAAACCATCTCAACACACCTTTCTCATCTTCTATCACTTCACAACGCTTTCTTGAATTAAACTTTTAAGTTTTAATTAAATTATAGGTGCGTTGAATAAAATTTGATATCATACTTAATAACGATATTATTTATTATTAAAATTAAATTTTAGCATATCGATGGCTTAATTCTAACACCTCGCAACCTACAAAGAGTAAAGACAAAAAGCAATGCTGACACGTGTATCGTGTGAGTTAGGACTTGTTAGAAATAGCGAGAACTCACTAGAAATAATTTTATGTGGAACAAAGGTTTTAGTAACCAATAGTGTCCATTTTTTTCTATTCAGTAAACGTAAAAACGTAAATTCGTACAAATTGTTGGTTGCGACTTGTTAGAATTAAGCCATCGATATTGCTTTGATATTTCTATTGATAATGTCAATTTCACAATCTCAACATACTTGGAAAGTAATTTAAAACAACATTGGAAGAAAGGCAAAGCGCGTTGAATAGAGACAGAGGAAAGAGATAAATGCAGGTGTTCAATTTTTTAGTACAATTCTAGTCTTTCCTGGGCAGATATGCGCTCAGGAAGAATATATTATACACGCATAGAAATAGTATAGAAAGCCAATTAAATATATCAAAAATGAAACCATAGGGAGAAAATAGGGTGTCGGAGCTCATGCGTATAACGGTGCTGGCTCGAACAGGACCGGTGCAAGTTTTTTATTGATCGAACAAATAGTTCACACCATGCTTCAGTAATACATTTTTAAAGAGATTCTATAGAAAAAAAGATGAAAAAGTTCAAGTACGGTAAATATGGTTCTGAGAGTACTTATTAAGGAAGATATACCTTAAAATATGAATTAGTTAATTTTCGGCAACCATTAGTGCTATATTCATAAGATTTTGCTTGTGATCTGACATCTTATTTGATTAAGTATCATTTGCTACAAGTAAATTTAATCTAAGGAGTGTAAAATATAGGAAGCGTTGCGTTTCGCACAGGAATATTATGGTCGATATTTTTTTATATTTTGTTAGTCGAGACTATGAGTCGTTACTTACAATTAGACAGAAAACCTTTAACGTTACCATTTTCAATATAAATTATCCAAAGATGTCTGCATCTCTCAAGATTCAAAATTAAAAAATACTGCTACATTTACTTGGTACTTGGTACATATTTTATTTTAATTTTGAACCCTTTTAAAAAGGTCTTTCGGTTCCACAATAAAAGTTAGTCGCTGCTTACTAGAAACATTCTATATAGTCTAAACCAATTTATGGATTATTTTCGATCAATTTAACACAAATGTTTAAAGTTTTTAGTCCACGATAACATTCCCCATCAGCACATAGCAAACCTATCTTATAGATAATAAGAACAAACTTGTAAATCATTAATTTAGTTACTTGTAATGATTTTTTTGTTTATATGACTCTTTTGATTTCTAAATATATTTTGGCCTTACAATACGAAGCGTTTTGAATCTAACACTTTTTTTTATTGAACGATGAATGTTGACAGGCGTGAACCTTATTCTAAATTGCATAGACTCTTCAAAATCGAGCTTCTCGATATTTCCACAGTTTATTTATATTACTTTCCAAACTGGTTATATCTATCATTTTATATACTTTATAATATATGTTCAGGCCCTTTATTAACAATGTTTTTAACATACTTCAAAATGGGAGGATATTCTCAATTCGTTGAAATATTTTTTGTGTATGTTGGACGATGATTCTTTACCACGTTGCCCGATTTCCATGATTCTCTTTTTGTTGGAAAAGGAATATATACATTTAGTCAAGATCTGGAAATGGTATCCATGAGAAAATCATAACATCTTCATTTTTGAAGTAGGTTTTCTAAAATTTATTTAAACCGTACTGGTTCGCACGCGGTAAGGAATGAAGAAATGTAAATAATTATTGTGCCAGCCAAAAAGCGAAGAGGAAGTAACGATTAAAATATCGAGTGACAGAAGAGTTTCTTAGTTCATTGAGATCGGGTTTATGTTTTAAAATGCCTTGAAACCTGTATTTGAAAGTGTACCCTTTACCAACTCCGCTAGTGAAGTCACAAATGTTAAGTAAAGGTTCAATTTAGTAGGGTTAATTTTCAGTTTCTACATTTGAACATATACCCGATGCCAACTCGGCCAGTAATGCCATAAATGTTAGGTAAATGTACAATAATTTAATAGGGTTCATTTTAAAATTCTTTATTTTAAATTATAACAAAAATAACACAACTGTCAGAATGTTTTAGATGGAAATATCATGGTCTGTTTACTATATTTAACAATTTTTAACAAAAAACCATTCATTGTTTTGTCAGATACCGATAATGCCTCCCCGACGCTGGGCAGCCTGTATATAAATACACAGTTCTCTATTTACATAATTATAATTCTTAGGTAGGTTTAGATTTTCAGACAAAAATCTTGTAATAAATATAATAGCTGCTAAATACGTTGATTACATTTTCATTAGCCAATGTAAAAATGTCTTTTATTGTACCTAGGATTTAACTTAACACTACACAAAACTAAAAATAAAATTACACTTTCACCGTGTAATTCAATATTAAAACACAAATTCAAGCCAAAATATCACAAACGGTCCTGTAAGGGCAGCGTCATAATATAGCCTTGAAACACCGGGTTTAAGCATTGTTGCCAAGTCAATATTGAACTTGTAGGTGAATCGCTTGTCGAACATTAATACCGTATTTATATATATTTTTGGGAATGTAATTACACATAAATATTATTAGTTGATTATTTAAATGCTTATAAATTATTTTGTGGCGATATTTCGTAGATATAAACTGTTCAAATCATATAATATAAAAATAAATTAATTTGAAATTCTTTTGTGTTAATATACTGTTACGGGTCAAAAATTATGTCTAGAATAGTTTTAGCCAAAACAGCAAAGTGTGTAAACAATAAATAGTTTTTTTTTTATTTTGTTATTAATTATACTAAATTTATATCTAATTCTAGCCTAATATATACTATTTTATCCTAAACTAAACTATTCTATCTTAGACTATCCTAAACTAAACTATTCTATCTTAATATATCCTAAACTACAGGGACAGACACACTATTTTGCGATGTCAGGCGCAGAGACACGTTTTTATGCACAGTAGGTTTTAGGGAAGGGTAAAACAGTGACAGGTACACTCTGCTTCAGTTCCACAAAATACCTGTTTCAAAAAACCTGTTCCAGTTCCAAGTTGTTCCAACAATTTAAACCGTTTGTTGTTTTGCGTCTGTTGCGACTTGCAGAAACGACATACAGAAACACCGAAACTAAAACAAGATAGTTTTACATCGACGGAACAGTTTGATTTTTTAATGTTTCAACTGTTTCATGGGTACCTGTCACAGTCACAGTGTAGCAGTCGCAAAAACTAAAATTTCAACCTAATAGTTGTTATTAATTTACACCTATTATGAATGTTTTCTTCTTTTATAAAAAAAAAATAACTAAAAACACTATTGAATAAACAAATAATTATGTTCCATACAATCTTATTTTATTTTTGTTTTAGAAAAATAACACAGATTCTATAATATTCATTATTTAATAATAAATATCAAGCCGTTTCAATATTACTGGTGGCTAGTCTGTAACTGCAACAGGCAACTGTCACAGTACCAGTAATTAATATTAATAAAGCCAATGCCTAATAACAAGTTGTTCCAGTCCCACGCAATTTGCACTCTGCGACTGTGACAATAAGTAGCAATTTAAAATAAACAATCTCCGTCCACCGAAACAACTGTTTCGTGATTCGATGCATACCTGTTCCAGTCCGACGCAATTTGCGCTCTGCGACTGTGACAGCAAGTAGCAATTTAAAATAAACTGAATCTCCGTCCACCGAAAGTCGTCCGAAACAACTATTTCGTGGAACAGTTTCGTGATTCGACGTATACGGCTAAAGACACACACGGCTGTTTTCGCCGAGTCGGCCGCCGACTAGGCCGTCGCCTCGGCAGATGCTGTAATGTAAATAAATGGAGTTGTTCACACTATACTGCGCTGCGAAAATGCGACGCTACACCGCCGCGCGTACTCGACTCAAATGCATTACTTTTGTGAACCGCTTCGTGTGTTTTGTCAGAGGCGGCCAGCCGAGTCGGCGGCCGACTCGGCGGAAACAGCCATGTGTGTCTTTACCGTATCTGTTCCAAGTGAAAACCTGTTTCAAAAATAACAGATATTGCTTCAGCGACACAACCCTAGTAGGTTTGTTTCAATTTCTGCTTAAATGTTATATTTATATTGGTTTTCTATATTATTTCTATGGATATATTTCATCTTTCTGTAAATGTTTTTTTAATAAATCGCTTCAGAGTACTCGACTAAAGTTAAAGATATATAAACACCAAGTATGAAAAAATAGAGATAAGAAAAGCAGTCATCACGAAATTTAATCGTACTGTATGTGCCAGCCGGCACGTTGTAGTTTGTGGAACAGCCCCACTCAAGGGGCCTAAGAGCCGCATGCGGCTCGCGAGCCGCGGTTTGCCCACCCCTGAGACGTTTTCAACAGCTGGTCTAGACTGAAGCCGATGCCACAACTTCATATTTTTCACATACACATGTATTCGTTTTGTTCGCCCATCACTCGTTCACTCTTCTATTTCATAATATGCGCTCGTGCTATGATTTTCGCAACTTATGTAAAAACATATCTTCGCACACTTGTATCATAAATAACTATTTTACACTTTTTCTTTTCATATAAAACAATTTTATAAAAAAATACTTATTTAATTAATTTTGTTACTAATATAAAAGATATTTTAAAGACTGGGTTGATATTGGAAAATATTGACAGGACACATACTTTATACCATAAATAGTATGCTTCATTTCTTGATATCTTTACAAGTAATTTTTTTGACAAATCTGAAAAGAGCATCAATTATATTTGCTGGAGTTGATTTACAATGATCTTCCAT